CTTCTTCTTCTTCTTCTTTTCCTCCTCCTCCTATCCTCCCACCATCTCCCTCTCCCTCCCCTCACACCCTCTTTCTCTCCCTCTCCCTCACCCTTGCCCTATCTCTCTCCCTCTCCCTCACCTTGCCCTATCTCTCTCCCTCACCCTCTCCTGAGCTGTGCATCCGTGTACTGAACGAAGGAATTTCCTCGTAAAACCAGCAGCGTTTCCCCATTGCCACGAAATTAATAAACCCAGTAGTTCTCCCCCTCCCCCCCCCCCTTATAACACGATGTTTGCGCTCTTATCAGATTGCTTAAACAGACGCCATCCATTTATCTGACATCATCTTTCATCGCTTTGCAACTGCAGATAGAGAGCAACATGGCGGGAGGGCGGGAACGACGGGGTTGAGACGCGGGATCCGATTCGCTTTTGTTTATAGACGATTTGACAGAAGCGATCGGATCCCCTAGCGGTAAGGTTAGATCGATGCTCGTTTGTTCGAGCGAGGTGTCTATTGTCTGGGCGATTAAGAGATTCGCACAGATGTTTGTGGTTAATTATTTCGATTTTATTAAAAGACGAGGTAATTAGCGCTCGAACCGGCATTTTGCGTTTGATTAATGGGTTCGAATGATGTGGTTATTGCTTCTGATTCGGTTTAATTAGCTCGTTGTTCGGATGTTTTGTTTTTTCTTCATTTGTAACGAAGGCGTTCATGATGTTTATATTTCTTTTTTCATTTATTTCGTTTATTAACAATATAAAGAAAAAAAAAGTTAGATTATCCTGGGGAAGATTAATCATAAATATCAATAAAAAGTCAAAGAGAATGGGAGATGATGATAAAAAGGTCGATAAGTAGATAAGTAGATGTAGATTAGTTTTGATTATTGTAATTCTATTAGGTGTATGCTACTCGCGTTACGTTTAATTCGGTTTAATTGGCGTTGCTTATGATTCGAGTCGTTTTTTTGTTTGTTTTTCATTATAGTATCAACTCGTAACGAAAGAGTTCATGGTGTATAAATGTTTTTATTTTTTATTGTTTTAATTTTATTTTTTTCATGAGTGACAGGAGAGACACGAAGGGTAGAACAGCTAAGGAAAAAAAGAAATAACTGTAGAGAAAAAAGGCGGAGAGAGGGGGAGTAGAAGACAAAAAAAGGGGAAGATAAAAGATGAGAGAGAGAAGAAGAAAAGATGATGATGATGAGAAAAAATGGACGAAAAAATTGGCCAGCGTTGTGCCCGCGATATAACGTTTCACCCCCTAAACCGAGATGGGAATTTAAGGGTCTCTCCGCGCGGGCGTCGTCGTGTTTTTTGCGATGCGTGGGGCCGCCCGTGACGATCGCGCCCGCACGCGCCGCCCGCCCGCAGAACCGCCGGACTGAGTAGCATGGGCGTGCGCGGGCGGGCGATTCGATACGACGGACAAGCCCTGGTTTAACGACTTGTTTGTATTGCCAGCTCATTTTATCGTCGTGGGGGGAGGGGAGGGTAGGAGGGCGAAGGGGGGCTGGGAGGGGAGGGTAGGAAGAGATGGGGGGAGGGAGGGTAGGAGGAGGGGGATAGGAGATGGGGGAAAAGGAGGGTGGGTGGTAGGATGAGAGGAAGGTGGAGGGAGAGGAGGGAGGGATGGAGGGACGAACAAGAGAGAGAGGGGAGGAGGAGGAGGAGAGGATAATAGAGAGGAAGAGGAAGAGATGGAGAGCGGAGAGGAGTAGGAGGTGGGAGGGGGAGGAGGAGGATGGTGGTGGTAGTGATAGCTGGAGGAGGAGGTGGAGACGAATAGCGGAGTCAAGCTGTTTATTCTCGTGTGATAAGACTTTATGACGTGTTGTGGGAACGATTAAAGCCTTTATGATGTGTTGTGAGAACCGCCCTTGGGCAACATGATCATACTCGTGGGAGGGGAAGGGGAGGAGGTGGGGGGGGTGTGGAAGATCTCTAAGGGTTGTGAGGGGAAGAAAGGGGAGGGAGAAAGGTAGAGAAAGGGGGAAGAAAAGGCTGTGAAGGAAAAAGGACGGAGGAGAAAGAAATAGAGAAAGTGTTGGAGATTAGAGAGAGAGAAGAGAGATAGAAAGAGAGAGAGAAGAGATAGAAAGAAGAGAGAGAGAGAGAGAGATGAGAGAGAGAGAGATGAGAGATAAGAGAGAGAGAGAGAGAGAGAGATATAAGATAGAGAGAGAGATATAGAAGAGAGAGAGAGAGAGAGATAGAGAGCGAGAGAGAGAGAGAGAGAGAGAGAGAGAGAGAGAGAGAGAGAGAGAGAGAGAGGAGAGAGAGAGAGAGAGAGAGAGAAACAGAGAGAGAGACGTTAGGAAAGAGAAAGGGAGTGATAGTAATTCACGAATGGGTTGTAAGGGGGGAAAGGGGGCTAGGGAAGGAAGGAAGGAAGAAAAAAGGGGAGAATGAGGAGACTCACGTGGGGGGATATGAGGGGAATAAGGGAAAGGGGGAAGGGGATAGGTTGGGAAAATCTGAAGGGGAATTGGAAGAGAAGAGGAGGAAGGACGGAGAGTGGGGTTCTGAGGGGAAAGAAGGAGAAGGGGAATGGGGAAAGAAGGGGGGGGAGGATAGAGAAGGGGAGTGTGAGGGGAAAGAAGGGGAAGGGGATAGGTAGAGGAGGTCTGAAAGGGAATAGGAAAGGGAGGAAGGACGGACGGAGAATGGGGCTGTGAGGGGAAAGATGGGGAAAGGTATAGGTAGAAGGGGAATAGGGAGAGAAGGGGAGAAAGGAGAGGGGAAGGGGATGTGAGGGAATAACGGGCGATTCCCTCACCTTGTTCAGAGGGGAAATTAAGAGGCGTTTTCGAGGGGAGCGAGGGACAGGTGGCGAGGGGGGTGAGGAGGGGAAGAGGGGTAAGGAGGGATGAGGAGGGTGGGTAGGGATACAGGGAGGGGAGGGGGAGGAGGGAAATGAGGAGCGGTATAGGGGTACAGGGAGGAGAGGGTGAGGGGGGTGAGGGGGGTGAGGGGGTAGGGGTACAGGGAAGAGAGGGGGAGAATTCGTAGGAGAAGAGGGATTCAGGAGGTGGGGGGGTAAGAAGGGACGACGAGGAGGGAGAAACGGGGCACAGGGAGAGGATGGAGGAGAGATGGGGTAGAAGAGTGGGGGGCGGGGTGGGGGGGGCACAGGAAGCGGTGAGCGAGGGGAAAGAGGTGAGGAAAGGGTAGGACCGCTGTATTAGAAGCGAAACTCAAGTAACCGAAGGGGAGCGGAGGGAATGAGGAGGGGGTTAGGGGGGGGGGGATGGGTAAGGAAGAGGGGGTAGGGGGTTGGAAGTGTTAGGGGTGGAGGGGAGGGGAGGTGGAGGGGAGGAGGGGGGAGGGGGTTGGAAGTGTTAGGGGGGAGGGAGGAGTAGGTAAGGGAGGGGTAGAGGGGGTGGAAATGTTAGGGGGAGGGGAGGGGAAGGGGTAAAGGAGGAGGGTAGGGGGGTTGGAAGTGTTAGGGGTGGAGGGAGGGAGAGGGGGGAGGGGGTTGAAGTGTCAGGGGGAGGTAGTTAGGGTTAAGGAGGGGGTTAGAGGGGGTTGAAATGTTAGGGAGGGGTAGGGGAAGGGGAAGGAGAGGGGTAGAGGGGTTGGGAAGTGTTAGGGGAGGAGAGGGGTAAGGGGGGTTGGATGTGTTATGGGTGGGGGAGGGAGGAGGAGGAGGAGGGGTGTGTTTTTCCGAAGGTTGTTTTGGAAGGAAAAGGCGTTGGTTTCAGAAGTGGGGGGAGGGTCGTCAGAAAAGGGAAGGATGGGGAAGAGGACTTGTGTTCACCCTTTTTTTTGGGTTTTTGTTTTTTTTCTTTTCTTCTTTTTCTTTTTTTTTATCTTCTGTTTTTCTTGGGTATGGCAATATTATTATTTCTCTTGTATCTTTTTTTTTACTTCTTTCCAACTTCGTGCTTAGGATCCTTTTTCTCGCCGATGCAGCTGTGAGAGACTTTTTCGATTCCACGCTTGAGCCGCCTTCCGCTTCGGGTAGCCAATAGAGGCTGGGGGGCGGGGAGGGGGGGGACCGGATCCGCCGGCCGGCGGGGAAAGAGGGGGGGCGCGACCGAGATTGGCAAGCGACCAGGCGAGCGGGCAAAGACGGACGCGAAGGACCCATGCCGGGTGTTTGGGGGCGTGTGAGCCAGATGATATGGCTTTTTGCGGGCGGGAAGCAGAGGGAAGGAAGGAGAGAGGAGAGGAGGAAGGAAGGAGGAGGGAAGATGAGGAGGAGAGGAAGGAAGGGAGGGAAAGGAGGGAGAAGGAGAGTGAGGGAGGAGGGAGGAGAGGGAGGGAGGGGGAGACAGAGAGGGAAGTGGGGGAGGAGGAGAAAAGGAGAGAGGGGGTGGGAGGGAGAGGAGGAGGAGGCAGGAAGGAGGGGGAGGAGGGAGGAGGGAGGAAAAAGAGGCCAGTTGGACCCCGGAGCGGGGAGGAGGAGAACGAGGAAAAGGGAGCGAGAGGGAGGGAGGGAGGAGGACGGGGGAAGAAGAGAAGAAAAGGGGCTAGGATAGGGAGAGGAAGAGGAAGGGAGGGAGGAATCAGAAAAAGAAAAGTGAGAACACAGTAGGAGGAGTGGAAGGAGGAGAGGAAAAGACTCGAAGATACATTAGAGGGAAAGGGAGGAGAACTCGAGATGGAGGAGGGATGAAGGTATTATGAGAGGAGAGGGGCGTGAGAAGGAGGATGTGGAAAGGAGAGGGAGAAGGAAAAAGGTAGAGAATGAAAGAAAGGAGAGAAAGAAGGAAAGAGGAAGAGAGAGGGAGAGACTAGAAAAAAAACTCGAATAAATAGAAATAGCGTGAGAAATGCGAGTATGAGAGAAAGAAGTGGAGAAATAGATAGGAGTGAAAGAAGGATAAGAAGAATGGGATGACAAAAAATGATAAAAAACCTTCTAAATAACCAAAAATTGACGAACCATTTGTACCATTTGGACAACAAACGACAAAGAGACGGTGGACAAAGTTAACTAAGCGATCCCGGGACGTAAACCATGGGATTGGGACGAGGACGAGGACGAGGGCAAGAGGACGCTGATGAATGACGGGGGGGCAAGAGGACGAGATGACGAGGACGAAGATGGTGAGGGGCAAGAGAATGACGATGAGCGAGGACGATGATGGATGACGACGAGGGGCAAGAGGACGAGACGATGACGAAGATGGTGAGGAGGCGAGGACGATGACGATGAGGAGGACGATGGATGATGAGACGAGGGGCAGAGGATGACGAGGGATGACGGAAGGGCAAGGACGAGGACGTGAACGAGGATGAGGAAGAGGGTATGGACGATGATGAGGAAGATGGTGTGGAAGACGAAGAGGATGAGGACGATGGTGAGGACAATAGCGATGACGAAGAAGAGGAAGAGGATAAGAACGATGACGATGACGAAGGCAAAGGCGTGGAAGAGGACGGGAACAAGGACAGTGACGATGACGAGGGCGGGAACGATAGCAAGGATGAAGACGACGGCGACGGCGACGACGATGACGACGACGAGGGAGAGGGCTTGAGGGCAGCGTATGGCCGTAGAGGAGGATGCGTGGGGACGAGGAATAAAAAGGATGGCTGTTAATGTGAGTTATTGTCGTTAGGAGGAGGAGGGTCGTTTGAGGAAAGGAAGGGGGGGGAGGGAGGGGAGGAGGAGGGGGGGAGGGAGGGGAGGAGAGGAGGGGGGGGAGGGGAGGGGAGGAGGGAGGAAGGAGAGGAGGAGGAGGAGAGGAAAGGAGGAAAGGGGAGGGGAAGAGGAGAGGAGGAGGAAAGGAGGAAGGGAGGAGGAAAGGGAGAAGAGGAGAGGAGAGGAAAGGGGAGGAGAGAGAAGAGAAGAGAAGAGGGGACTGAAGGGAGGAGAGAGAGAAGAAGAATAGAGAGAAGGAGGAGAGAAGAGGAGATGGGAGGAGGAAGGGAGGGGAGAGAAGAGGGAAGCAGGGAGAGGGAGAGAGATGGTGAGGGGAGAGGAGGGAGGAGAGGGAGGAAGGAGGGGGTGACGCGCGGTTCATGGCGGTTCATAATGAGGGTACGCGCGGTTCGGGTACGCGGGTCCTCCTTTGGTCGGGCTTTGGTGCGGTCGGGTGTCGGGCGTCGGGGGTGGGGTGGGGTAAGGGGCGGGGGGAGGGATTTAGATGAGGACTTGGTATGGTTAACTCAAGCTTCCCGCCATTACCGCAGGGGATTCGAATGCGACACTAGAGCCATGGCTTCGGCGTTAATTGGAGTTAATGAATCAATAATTACCTGTATATCATGATGGGAAAATTTATATGCAATAATAAAATAAGTGATAGATCCCCCCCCCCAAAAAAAAAAAAAAAAAAAAAAATACTGGTGTGGATGATGTGGTTGATAAAGAAGTGAGATGAATCTTAATCCGAAGTCAAGGTTCCATCGTCGGATTCGTACAATTTGCGGAAATGGCGGTAACTTTGCTGGTTATTTGTAATGTTTTGTTGTTTTGTACTTTTATCAGCAACATTCACGTTAATGCATTGCAATCATGGTGTAGAGTACATTAGATTTAGAGATATTGATGCTTGTGTTGGAGATGAAAGTTTGATTTAAGAAAGCGTTTGATTAACGCATTTTCGGCCAGGTGGTCTGAAAACACCTTTGGATGTTCATGTTTTCGTGTGTGTGTGTGTGTGTGTGTGTGTGTGTGTGTGTGTGTGTGTGTGTGTGTGTGTGTGTGTGTGTGTGTGTGTGTGTGTGTGTGTGTGTGTGTGTAATTATGCATATACAAATATACAGACAGATTGAAAAGGATGTTTACTGAGTATTGCCTTTTATCTACTATGAGTGTGTCTGGCTGTGTTTGCAACCCTTTCCTTTCTCTTTCTCTCCTCTCCACCTTTCCCCTCCTCTTTTCTCCTGTTATACTAGTTCTTTTTTTTCTCTCTCCCTCCCTGCCCTCTTCTCCCTCTCCTTCTTCCTTCTTCCCTCCTCTCCCTCCTTCCCCCCTTCCCTTTTTCCTCCCTCCCTCCTCTCATCTCTCCTCTTCCCTCCCTTCCTCTCACTTTTTCTCCCTCTCTCCCTTCTCCTCACCCCTCCTTACCTTCCGTCCCTCTCCTTCCCCTTTCTCCCTCCCTCCCTCTTACTCTACCTCCTTCCCTCTCCTTCTCCTTCCCTCCCTCCCACTCTCCCTCCCTCTCCTCCAATCCCCTCACATACCCTCTCATCCCTCTCCCTCCCATGTTGCAAGAAAAAAAATAATAGAATAAAACAATGCAGTGCAATCAAGTGGCGATCAGCCCGAAGGCACTCCAAGGTCCCAGAGTGCAACAGCTGAAGTGCCGGATGCTGGTGGGCGAGTGCCGGCGAGGGAGGAGGTTGTAGGCCTACCGGTCGGGGCTCTGGGAGGAGGTGGGGGGGGGGGGTTAGGTGAAGGAGGGGGGTTAAGGAGACGGGGGGAGGGGGTTGTAATAGGATATCTTGGAGGGACTTGAGCTTTGGGGGGGGGGACTGGGCGATTCTGGGTTGTGGAGATTTCGGGTGGGGTGGGGTAGGGGAAAGAGGGGTTCTGTCTATGTCTGTCTCTCTTTCTGGGGCTCTTTTTCTCTGTTTGTCGGTGTGTGTGTCTTTCTCTCTGTTTTGTCTGTTTTTATCATTCTCTGTTTATTTTCTGTCTGTTTTTTCTCATTCTCTCTTTCTTTTAGTCTGTTTTTTCTCATTTTCTGTTTATTTCAGCCTACTTTTTTCTCATTCTCGGCGTCTCTTTCTCTATGTCTTTATAGATATTCGTGTTTGTGTGTCTGTCTCCTTTTCTGTCTTTATTTGTCTTTGTCTTCCTCTGTTCTTCTGTTCCTCTCTTCCTCTCCATCCTTCCCTCACTCCTCTTTCCACTCTATCTCACCATCCCCCTCATGCTCACTCTCACTTCCTCCCCTTTACTCTCACTCCCTCTCTCTCTCTCTTTTGTGAATGATAAATTTATGAATGAATCATTTTGGGGAAAACAGAATGACGCAGGATTAAGAAGCACGCAAAGATCCATTTAATGATTTAATCCATTTAGGGTAATTTAATCCATTGAATTAATGGAAACCATTTAATTAATTCGATTCATTTAATTGATTTAATCCGTTTAATGTCCTTTATTCATCTGGCCAATTAAACTCACCATATCGGCAATGAAATAAAAGGATGCAACAGTAACATTCTAACGTCACGTCAGACGCCAAATTATTCGTCACAGCGTCACATCAAACGTCTCATTAAACGTCACATCAGACGCCAGAATAAACGTCACATTAAACGTCACACCAGATGCCAGGTTAAACGTCACAGCGTCACATCTAACGCCACACCAGCGTCACATCCCTTGCCATGACGAGTCCATGACAACTTCGATCCGTGACTTATGGCGAGGCTGAGCGTGTGTGATTCGGAATGACAAATACTTTTATTTCTTTAATTGGAATCGTTAATTGAATTTGTTAATTAGATTGGTTAATTAGATTGAGTGTTGGTTTATATTTTTGTTTGTTTTTTGTTTTGGGTCGAATATGTTTTATCTTTTTTTTTTTCTTTCATTCATGTTTTTTTCTTAATTTTGTTTTTTTCGGTTAGTCCTTGGTTTAGACAGACAGACAGACAGACAGACAGAGACAGACAGACACAGACACAGAGACACAGATAAAGTGAAAGAGAAAGAGAGAAAGAGACAGACACAGCCACAGACACAGACAGACAGACAGACAGACAGACAGACAGACAGACAGACAGACAGACAAAGAAGAAAGGAGGAGGGAAAAGGGGCTGGCAGACGGAGCGCAAAAAGCCCACAAGGAGGAGAAAATCCGCCGAACCCGAATGCCGTAAACATCCGCTTGAATGACAGGGAGGTGGCGGACTGTGGCAGGTTGAGGACGAGGTGAGGACGAGGGGAAGGGAGGGGAGAGGACGAGGGAAGGGGAAGGAAGGGGGAAAGGAAGGAGGAAGGTAGGGAGGGGAAGGGGGAGGGGGAGGGGGAGGGTGAGAGGAGAGGGAGGGGGAGGGGAGGGGGTGGAGGAGAGAGGAGAAGGGGAGGAGGGGGAGGGTGAGAGAGAGGAGAAGGGGAGGAGGGGGGTGAGAGGAGAGGAGAAGGGGGAGGGGTGGGAGGGAAGGAGAGGAGAAGAGGAAGGAGGGTAGGGAGGGGGAAGGTAGGGAAGGGGAGGGAGGAGAGCGGTGAGGTTGAGGACGAGAAGGAGGCTGAGGACGAGGGAGGGGAAGGAGGAAGGAGGAGGTAGGGAGGGGAGACAGAGTAGGGGTTGGGAGGGAAGGAGAGGGAAGGAGGAGGAAGGAAGGAGGAGGGAGAGGAAGAAGGAGGAGGAGGAGGGGAGAGGGGAGGAAGGAAGGACGAGGATAGGAAGGAAGTACGAGGGAGAGGAAGGAAGGAAGGAGGAGGGAGAGGAAGGAAGGAGGAGGGAAGAAGAGACGAGAAAGTTAGAGGAGAATAGAGGAGAGGAGATAAGAGAAAGGGAGAAGAAAAAAGAAAGGTAGAAGAGAAAAGAAGAAAGAGAGAGGAGAAAAGAGAAGAAGAAGAGAAAGAGAAAGCGCGCGTGAAAGAGCTAGAATAAAGAAAGGGAGGAGAGAGCGGACACAAACAAAAAGACCCCCCTCCCCCCATCGCACGAGCGCCGTAAACAGAGCCGTGTGAGTGACAGGTCGGCACACCGTGGCTCGTCTCGGAAGGGGAAGGGGAGGGGAGGGAAGGGGAGAGGAAGGAAGGGGAAGAGGGAGGGGAGAAGGGAAGGGAGGGTGGGGGGACAGAAAAGGGGGGGGAGGGGAGGGACGGGGAGGGGAGGGTGGAAGGGACGGGAAGGGAGATGGAAAGGGGGGGGAGGAAAGGGGAAGAGGGAGAGGAAAGGGGAAGGGGTGGAGGGAGGGGAAGGGAGATGGGGAAGGAGGAAGCGGAAGGGAGATGGGAAAGGGACAGGGGAGGAAGAGGTGGGAAGGGAGAAGGGAGAAGGGTGGAGGTGTGGAGGAAGGGGAAGGGGGGAGGGGGAGAGTTAGCCACGCCGGGGCTCGAAAGAACGGCGCGAGTGATCGATAAAACCTTATTCCCCTTTTTATATTACATGATTGGATGTGATGGGGAGAGAGAGACTGGCTTCCCCCTCCCCTCCCTCTCCCCTCTCTACTCCTCCCTTCCCCTTCCCCTCCCCCCTTACTGCATTTGGAGATGGTGCACACGCGCGTGCGTACGAGAGCGTGCATGTTATTGTGTGAGAAGGATTTTTTTTGTATGTGTGTGTGTTTGTGATTTGTTTGTTTGATTGTTTCTGTGTGTTGTTTGTTAATACGTGCGTTTGTGTGTGTATGGATGCATGCGTGCGTGAATAAATAAATGTGTGTGTGTGGGTGTGTGTGTGTGTGTGTGTGTGTGCGTGTGCGTGTGCGTGTGCGTGTGCGTGGTGTGTGTGTGTGTGTGTGTGTGTGTGTGTGTGTGTGTGTGTGTGTGTGTGTGTGTGTGTGTGTGTGTAAGTGTAAGTGTAAGTGTATGTGTGTATTACATATCTGCATCGACAATACAAGCACACATACACACACCCATGTCTGCACATATCCATTCAAACACTCGCGGCCACCCATCCCCCCATTAACTCCCTTTAACTCCCCTTTTATGACAGGTAAGCTTCGTAGCGCTTACCTGTCCCTGCTACGACCCCCTTCCACGACTTCTCTGTTACGACCTCTCTCCCACGACTCCCCTATTATGACCTTCGTGGTACGACCCCCTTTCCACGCCCTCTCTGCTACGACCTCCTACTACGACCTCCCAGCTACGACCCCTACTACGACCCCAATTCCATGACCTCCCTGACACGACCCCGCCTACTACGACCCCACTTCCATGACCCTCCCTGTTACAACCTCCTTCCATGACCTCCCTGCTACGACCCCTCGCCTTTTTTATTTTAACTTTGATTATATAGATTACGTTATGCAATGTTATTTTGATACTATTATTATGATTCGTAATGCAGTATTCAATAATCGGTTGTGGTGTCTTTCATAAACATCAAAAAAATATGGAATTAGAGTTTGGCTAATATTAAGGCTTTCGTGACGTGTTATTAATCGATCGTTGACATGACTCGTTGATATGACTTGTTGATATGACTTGTTGATATGATTCATTGATATGGACTCGTTGACATGACTTGTTAACATGGCTCGCTGACTTGACGAGGCGCCCGTGTTTGATTTTCGGTGCTGATAAGAGATCCACGTCCACACCTACGCCCAAATCCACGCCCACGCCCAAAGTCCACACCGACGGCCAAATCCACGCCACACCTATTGCCTTAACCCACGTTCAAGTCCCCGCCTACGCTTATGCCTCCGCCCACGCCCACAACTCCACCCACGCCCACACAACGTCCACGCCCACAATTCCACCCACGCCCACACAACATCCACGCCCACGCCCACACCTATCGCCTTAACCCACGTTCAAGTCCTCGCCTACCCTTATGGCTCCGCCTCCGCCCACGCCCACGCCCACGCACGTGTGGAGCCGCGTATCCGTTACCGTCGAGAGATCCTATTGATCACTTTGTAGGAGCGAGAGGACAAAGGGAGGCCGCCCTCTGCCTCCTCGCGGGCGGCCCTTTCGCCTCTTGAGGGGGGAGGGGGAGGGGGGAGGAGGAGGAGGAGGGGGTAGGGGAGGAAGAGGAAGGAGGGGAGGGGAGGAAAGAGAGAGGGAGGGGAGGGGGAGGGGGAGGAAGAGAAAGGGAGAGGGAGGAGAGGGGAGTGGATGGGGAGGGAGGGAGAGGAAGGGAGAGGGAAGGGAGGAGAGGGGATGGGAGGGGAGGGGAAGAGAGAGAGGAAGGGGAGGGGTAGAGAAAGGAGAGGGGAGGAGGGGGGTGGAGATGGGAGGTTATCTTGAGTCTGGCTTTGTCTTCTCCTTCCTTACCCTCCTCTCTCTTTTTTTTTCCTTTGTCTTTTTCTTCTTTCATCTTCCGTTTTCCTTCCTTCGTCTCTTTTTTCCGTCTTTCTTCGTTCTTCCACCTTTCTCTTTATTCGTATTCGTATTCTTTCTTATTCGTAGTCGTATTTTTGTTTCTCATTATTTCATTTTTTTAAATTCTTATTCTCCTCTCTTTTCTTTCCTTTTCTTCCTCCTCCTCCTCCTCCTCTCCAAGTGTTCTCATTCTCCCTATTCATAATCGTATTCTAAGTCGTTATCGTATTTTTGTTTCTTATCATTTCCTGTTTTAGTGTCATGTCTATGTCTGAAGTGTGTGTAATTCTGCCAAAGATATGACATCGAAATGACGTCAGTTACCTTTTCCTGTTTCGTGGGGTTATTCATTTTTATTATTTTTTTCTTTCTTTTCTTTTCATTTTTATTATTTTTTTCTTTTTTTCTTTTCTTTTGCTTTGTTTTTTGTTGTTGATTTTGTTTTTGTTTTTCACGCGCTTGTGACTCCCGAAGACCTCCGTTCAGGGGGAGGGGGAATATTTCATGAATGAATGAATTAGTGAGTGAGTAAGTGAGTGAGTGGGTGAGTAAATGAGTGAGTGAATGAGTGAGTAAATAAGTGAGTGAATGAGTGAGTAAATAAGTGAGTGAGTGAGCTGAGCGAGAGAGTGGGAGAGTGAGTGAATGAGTAAGTGAATGAGTGAGTGAATGAGTGAGTGAGTGAGTGAGTGAGTGAGTGAGTGAGTGAGTGAGTGAGTGAGTGAGTGAGTGAGTGAGTGAGAGAGAGAGAGAAGAGAGAGAGAGAGAGAGAGAAGAGAGAGAAGAGAGAGAGAGAGAGAGAGAGAGAGAGAGAGAGAGAGAGAGTGAGTGAGAGAGTGAATCCGAGAATCCTTGGAAGAAGTGCTTTCTTTCTGTCCAGCGGAAATTTTATCAATGAATGAGTGAATGGCTAAGTGAATGAATGAATGCATACCAGAAAACTGATCTTGATTTTTTTTATTGATCTCGTATTTAAAGTGGTTATATATATTTTTTGCTCTGTCTTTGGAGTCTGCAAAATGTTTTATGAGTTTCCTCTTTGTTAAGAAAATGTCTTTCTGTCCCGAGTATTGTTACTGAAATAAGTGTTGCTTCTAGAATAAAGTATTTAAGTGCCTGTGTGTTCTTAAGTACTTAACACTACATAGGGAAGCAGCACGTTACGATTAGATAATATTATGTGCGAAAAATCTCGAGTTTAGCATAAATTAGTCAACCAAAGTGGCTCTCTTGAAGAAAGAAAGGATATTGTGAATGAATTTTGGGGAATTAAAGGAAGGCAGGACGGTTGTCGTAGATAATTAGAGGCGTGGAATATGATAACTGAAAGAGCATGAGGTTGGGGGTTAATTAGATGTGTAAAATATGGTATCTGGAAGAGCATGAGGTTTGGGGTTAATTAAATGTGAGGTTTGGGGTTAATTAAATGTGTAAAATATGGTATCTGGAAGAGCACGGGCTTTGGGGTTAATTATATAATTTTGTGAATCGAATAAAGAGTTAATGAGAATGGGAGAAGATAATCCAAATATAGAAAAGAAGGTTAGAGATGGGAGAAAAAGGGGAAAGGAAAATTCGAAAGTGTTATAAAAGGGGAAGAAAGGGGACGCGAAGAAAAGAGGATGGGGGGAGGAGCATGATAAAGGGAGCAATAGGCAAATGGTAAGGAAAAGGGAAGAGAATGCATGGAAGAAAACGACAAAGAGAAGAAGAAAAAACAGGAGAAATGTCAAATTGTAATATAATAAGAAAAATATGATATAGGAGAAAAAATATATATACTTTATTTGGGATAGAAAAAAAGGGATTACATGATTTAGTTTCGGAAAAATTACATAAATTTGTTTCGGGATAGAGAAAAAATTACATAATTTTGTTTCGAGATAGAGAAAAAAAATATATTTTTGTTTCGGGATTAGAAAAAAATATTACATAATTTTGTTTCTTTTCTTTCCTGATTTTAATATTCTTCAAGTATGCATATCTGCTTCCTCCACCAATGAGCCTTATCTCTTTTATCTCAGAAGTGATTGAAGTGGCAAGTACCTTAAGAGGCAAGAATCTGTTTTAAGTCGAGATTTCGAGATACATAGACGAGGTTGCTTGCGCCGCCTCGCTCGCTTTCACAACGCTCGTCTCTCTTTCACAACAATGCGTCTCTTTCATAACACTGCAACGGGATCTTTTGTGTGTGTGGTTGTTGTTTTTGAATTGTGTTTGTTGATATCGCCGGCGCTATCACCATTATCGTTGCGTTTTGTATCTGTCACGTTAATCTTCGTATTGCGTGGGTGATGTGGTCGTTGTGTGGTTGTTGTTGTTGTGTTGGTGGTGGTGGTGGTGCTTTGATGCTGGTATTATTTTATTTTGTGTGAGTTTTAAGGTATTTTAACGATGCGGGATTGATCGTTTTAGTTGTTGTTATTGTTTTTTTTTATTGTTGGTGGTGGTACTGATGCTATTATTTTTCTTTATTTTATGTGAATTATATAAGTATTTTGACGATGCGGGATTGATCGTTGTGGTTGTTGTTATTGTTTTGATGTTGTTGTTCTGTATTTTGTGTGAATTATTTTAAGTATTTTAACGATGTAAATGTTACACGTCACAACTTAATTGTTACGGAAATCCACAGCAAGAATTAGAGATAGAATTAACTTCAAAAAGAGACATTACTGTAACTGAAGCATTCGTTGTATTTTTAGAATTGTTCCCTGACTAGGAAAAATGCATTGTCCTTTCTGGTATTCATTTCACTAATTTCATTTCTTTTCTTTATTTTCAGGTATGGATCAAATGCCGGTGTTTATTCTCTCCCGACCGCTGAAAGGCCTTCATAGAGGTATTTTGTTTAGAAGCAGGGGGGATGTAGGCCTAGAGATGGGCCTTGTAAACAGGAGTCCTGATGTAGGTGGGCGGGGAAGGGGAGGGGAGGGGTGGCTGTTAACACAGGTGATTATGTGGTGCTTTTTTTTTTATGTTGCGTCTTGTGTTTGTTTGTTGTTTTTGTGTTTTGTCCTGTGTTGATGTGTTGTATTTACTTTTGGTCGTGTGTGTTTTTATGTTTTGTTTAATGATGATATGGGTGTTTTGTTTTATGTAGTTATTTTTTTTTTTATATCTGTGTTTGTTGGTACTGTAGGTGTGTCTTTTGTGGCCCGTGTACATTTACTGGCAGCCATTCGTACTAGACTTAGTTTGTTTATGCATCTTCGTCGCATTTATGTCATACATATCATGCAGTGTATGGCATGTACAGAACAGACATAGCGCTTTCCTGATTATTTTTCAATACATATAGCAAACAGCTGTTCTCGTACCACACATATCGTGAATGGGCCACTTTCTTCCATGCCACACAGGGTACGATGAACGATGTAACACGTACCATACATTCCGCTCTCGTGAATGGGCCTCTCTTTTCCCATACCAGAGAGGGTATGAGGTACACCCGGCGACACGTACCAGACATCCTCACCGGTCGTCGACAGTCCCCTCTTTTCCGTACCATTGAGGGTGTACGTGATACCATATAAGGTGTACCATTCATCCCGTTGCCATGGGAAGGTCTCGTTTTACATGTCAGGCAGGGTACGGTGCACCATGTAATATGTATCACATATATCTCGCTGTCATGAATAGGTCGTTTTTTCATTCCAGACAGGGTACAGTGTATGATATACCACGTGTCATACACCCCGCTACCATGAACAGGCCACTCTTTTCCCATACCAGACAAAGTACAGTACACCATTTAAGACGCACCATACACCCCGAAATCATGAACAGGTCACTCTTTTCTATGCCAGACAGGGTACAGTGCACCATATACCACGCACCATACACCCTCTCCGGTTGTCGCCAGCTCTCTCATATCCATGCCAGAGAGGGTACAATGCACCATGTAATACGTATCATATATCCCGCTGTCATGAACAGGTCACTCTTTCCCTACCAGACAGGGTACAGTGCACCGTGCAACGCATACCATACACTCTCTCAGGTCGTCTCCAGCTGTTCATGAGAGGGTACAGTAGACGCAAGCAGTCGGTGGATGAGGGGGGGGGGGTGTAATGCCGTGCTGTACCGTCGGCGCTGAGAGAGAGTACCCAGGAAGCAGAAGATAAATGATCTTTGGCATCCAGACACAATCCGACACAAGGGGCGAGGGTCGTGGTCATTCAGAGGGATAGGGGGGGATGAGGAGGAGGGGGAGGGGATGGGTGAGGGGGAGGGTGGAAGGGTGTCAGGGGGAGGGATGAGGATAGGGGAGGGTGGAAGGGGAGTGGGAGAAGGGGAGGGGTGAGGGATAGGGGGGGATGGGGTGAGGGGAGGGTGGAAGGGGGAGTCAGGGGGAGGTGGAAGGGGAAGTCGGGGGGAGGGGATTGAGGGGATAGGGGGGAGGAGGTGAAGGGGAGTGGGAGAAGGGAGGGGTGAGGGATTGGGGAGGGGATGAGGGATAGGGGAGGTGGAAGGGAGGGG